ACTGGTTTCCCTCTTTTCTATTCACTCTCTCTCTTTCTTAACATTTTTTCTTTTAAATCGCAATTTCTTATTTTTGCTCATTTTAAATATATTTTTAAACATTTTCTAAATGCTTTTTTATATTTTTACAATTTTTTGTTTTTGTGAAGCGCCTCGTGATTTTTTTCTTGAGAGGCGCTATAGAAATGATATTTTCTTCTTCTTCTTCTGCTTCTTCTCCTTCTTTGTTGACAAGCAGCAACTGCCCTGGGTCCTAGTTTTATCATATTGAGATACAGATTGACTTCTGTAAGATGGTACTGTCCTACTAGGTAGGCTGGGTATGACTCCAGTAGTTATGGCCACCGCCACTGCTGCAGGTTGATCTGTAGGATGAGCTTCATGCTCAGTTGGATCCTGAGCTACAGAATAAGGAGGAGTTTGAGGTTGATAGTCTTTTCTTATTTTATTGATGAAGTTGGCAACAACAGGTAGGGTTATACGCATCTATGTGTGGTCTGTGAGAAAATAATACAAAGAAGGATATAACAAACTGTACAAGACTGTTTAGTAAAATATAAAGTATTAAAGATTTTGGTCAAAAATTACCCATAACACACCACAGTATTTTCAAAAGGATGACGGATCAGAAGCCAGCAGCTACTTTGGGGGCAAATTTCAAGTTTAAAAGTACGTCAACTAATTTAAAATGGTTTTTTTTTAGATCAGAAGAAGTTATCTATGGTTGATTAGTTGCTTATTTTTTGCAGCTTCGGTGGCTAACGGGTAGTAACTCGCTTATATTTTTAATTTAACAAATGTATACACAATTTAAAAAGTAAAAGGCTCGTTTTATATTCATATTAAAACTAGCACGTATAAAATATAATGTTATCGCCAATGAATCCAAATAAAACATTCAGACAACATGGAAAAACATAAAAAAACGTATGTGCTTTCTGTGCGTAGAGGTGTTACAGTAGATTGTAATTACATATTGTTCAGGAACGCACACAAGGCTGTCTACCATCACCAACAACACGTACGACGGAGCCAGACCATCTTTACAGGAAGTGACATCATAAAACTGGACCACCAAATAAGAGCGGTGTAGATTTTACCATATAAAGCACCATAGAATGGTATACAAATATAACACTTTCCGACATTTAAATTAATGATATTTTTTTACAGTAATAAGATGCCCAATTTTTTTTAACGTCCAAGTGAGACGCACATAAGACATTGAATTCACGGGCAGAAAAAAAATGTTGGTTCAACTTTCAGTTCGGAACTATTTTTCGACCATGATGGGACACGTCATTTGGAATCGTAGCATGGACAAGGAAGATCCAGTCTTTCTTGCCGCACGAAGTTCACAATTTTATTTACAAAACTCCCCAAAACAGTTTTCTGTGTGTGCCGGTGGAAGGAGAACAGTCTGAACTTATCAAGGGAAGATGCCAATTTGCCTATAAATAAATTGTAGTAGAGCCCTTCTTGCCAATCAGAGCCGAGAAAGATGGGATCTTCCTTGGACATCCTACGATTCCAAATGACGTGTCTGGCACAGCCGAAAAATCGCGTGTGCTGTTGAGAGAAAACATGTTCTTTACAAAAGAAGGGTCAGAAATGCACTTTAAGAAATTTAAAGCAAATAAACCTTTAGCTCTTAGGATCGGTCTTGCTGTTGCCAAGGTCACGTGTGCATGTCTGAGGCTGTGCAAGGCTAATGCACACTCTGAATCACAACTAGCTGTGCTCCAGAGGGGTGCAGAAAAGCCAGGCATTTGTGGGAGACTAACACTCTGCACTGATATGTTTGGTACTTTAGGCATTTGGATGCTGACACTTGACATCGATTCTTATTAGCTCATGATTACTTTTAAAATCTCTTTATGTGGTTCCAGGCTAAACTAATATTTAACTGTTGAATGTTTGACATGTTTTCACACAGTCAGCAGCTCTGTGGGTGACAGTGAGAGGGTCCACTGCTCACCGGACTGCTGGCTAATGACCCATGTAGAAAAGACAAGGTGCAGAAAGAGAAGGACACACGTTTGCTGGTTGGAATTTTCACTGAACCATTAACCACAGAAATACAGGTGCTGGTCATAACATTTGAACATCATGACAAAGTGGATTTGTTTCAGTAATTTCATTCAAAAAGTGAACCTCATACATTAGATTCATTTATTGCACACAGAATTATACATTCCAAATGTTTATATATTTAATGTTGATTATAACAAACAACTAATGAAAATCCCAAATTCAGTATCTCAGAATATTAGAATATTAATAAAGACCCATGCAAAAGAAGGAATGTTAGAAATGTTGGAAAAATGAAATCTGCATCTCCATAAAGTTGGTCAACAGCAGGAACCATTACATGCTCTAAAACCTCCTGGTAGATGGCGGTGTTGACCTTACCTCATTCACTGCCAGTGATGACAAAAGTTGTCATTTTAAATCCAACCGTTCACTGCCCATTTGCATTTTCTAACTGTGTGGGCATTGGAATGAGCCCCCGCACCGTGAGAACAAGCATCTCAGCTCTAAAGCTGATCTTCATCCGCGTACGTCACACGTCACGTGATCAGGAAGCAGAAAATCCATGTGTTAGGAGATCGTTTTGGGCCGCTGCTGTAAAAAAAAGTGAGGCGTGAACCGGAAAAGCTTCTGCCGATCACAATTCGACAACAGATTATGAAAGAACGGATAACGCTCGAAACGCGCAAATTCCTCGTGATGTAAGAGGTTAGTCTCCGCTTTGTTTTGGTTGTTTTGGTGTCGACATCATCCTAGCGCAAAGTTCTCTGACTCATAAAAATGCTGAAACACACTGGCAGCGAAGGGCTTTACTGATCAGGAAACGGCTGGCAGCGAATGAGTTAATCATTAGAAAACACAATGGACCAACACCAGCAGATGACATGGCACCCCAAACCATCACTGACTGTAGAAACTTTACTCTGGACCTCAAGCGACGTGGACTCTGCGCCTCTCCTCTCTTCCTCCAGTCTCTAGGACCTTGATTTCCAAAGGAAATGTAAAACATGCTTTGATCAGAGAACTTTGGACCAGCCAGCAGCAGCCCAGTTCTTTTTGTCTTTAGCCCAGGGGAGACACTTTTGACACTGTCTTTTGTTCAAGAGTGGCTCGACACGAGGAATGTGACAGCTGAAGCCATGTCTTGCATACGTCTGTGCGTGGTGGTTCTTGAAGCACCAACTCCAGCTGCAGTCCCCTCTTTGTGAATCTCCTCCCATTTCTGAATGGGTCTTGTTTCACAGGCCCCTCCCGGGTGCGGTTATCCCTGTTGCGTGTACATTTTTTCTACCACATCTTGTCTTTCGCTTTGCCTCTTTTAATGTGCCATCGCCCTCACACTCCACACTGCACTGAGCCACCTGGAGAACACAAAGGGCTACGTGAGGATGCTCTTCGTGGACTACAGCTCAGCCTTCACCTGCATCATCCCCGGCATTCTCCACTCCAAACTGCTGGGTCTCCAGATCCCCTCCACTACCTGCAACTGGACTAAAAATTTCCCGTCAAGCCGTCCACAACATGTGAGATTCGGCTCCCACCACTCCTCCACACTCCCACTCAGCACCGGCTCTCCTCAAGGCTGTGTTCTGAGCCCACTACTGTATCCACTGTACACCTACGACTGCACTCCACTTCACCCAACCAACCACATCATTCAATGTGCGGATGACACCACCGTGGTCAGATTAATCAGCAAAGACAACGAGACAGCATACAGGGCAGAGGTGGAAAGACTGTCCCTTTGGTGCTCAAAAAACAACCTCGAAATCAGCACAAAGAATGCAAAAGAAATCATTGTGGATCTGAGGAAGAACAGAAAGAACCATGCACCGCTCTTGATCCATTAAGACCAGGTGGCAACTGTCACCACCTAGAAATTTCTGGCCACCCACATCACAGCAGATCTCTCCTGGACCCATAACACCAAAGTCCTGGTAAAGAAAGCTCAGCAGTGGCCATATTTTCTGCGAGTCCTCAGGAAGAACAACCTGGACAAGAAGCTGCTGCTTGCCTTCTACCGCTCATCTGTGGAGAGTGTGCTGACATACTGTCTGGGCGTGTGGTACGCAGGCTCCACAGCTGAAGACAGGAAGTCAGCACAGAGAGTTGTCCACGCTGCTCAAAAAATCATTGGCGGCCCTTGGCCCTCTCTGGAGGACATGTCACAGTGGCCCTGGACAATCAGGAATGCAAACACTCACGGACTGTGTGTATAAATAGCACATACCTCTAGCTGTATTTATTTATTTATCTGTTTACCATGCTGTGTTCCTTGCCGGTGTCTCTCCTTTTAATGATGTTTTTAAATGTTTCACTTTCCCTTTTCTTTTTAACTTTCATTCATGTTGAATGTGTTTACGGCTCGATGGGAGCAACCCTCAGTTTCATTGTACCCCACGCAATGACAATAAAAGTCCATTCTATTGAACACAGAGCTCTGCGAATGGCCAGCCTCTTTAACAATGACCTTTGCCCTCCTTGTGCAAGGTGTCACTGGTCAACTGGACAACTGTCAAGTCAGCAGCCGGCAGTCTGATTGTGTGGCCTACAGAATTAGAGTGAGACCATTTAAAGGCTTCTGCAGGTGTTTTGAGTTAATCAGCTGATTAGAGTGTGGCACCAGGGGTCTTCAATAATGAACCCTTTCACAATATTTTAATATTCTGAGATACTGAATTTGGGATTTTCATCAGTTGTCAGTTATAATCATCAAAATGAATGAAATAAACATTTGGAATAGATCGGTTTCCCTTTGCATGGAATTACTGAAAACAACAACTTTTTCTTTATATTGTAAGATATTGTAGAAAATCTCACTCATTCCTGAAACCTTTGTTTTAGAAAGCTGGAGCAACACATGGTCACTAAGAATGATGCTGCAGACTTACTTTCCAGGAATACAACTTTTGTTCCCACAGAGGTGCTAAATGAACGCATGAAGAAAGTGACAGGGTAGATATTCTTACCTAACAGGTTCCCAGGACTCCCTCTCAAAGCCTCGATGAATGGACTGAGCGATGGATGACTCCATCAGGTCCACGTATCGCACCACCAGAGGGGCATACAGGTCTTGTAGGTGTTTGTGGAACTTCCCGTTGCACAGATTATCTGAAAAGTGAAGCAGGTTTGGGGAGAAACAGGAGTGGAGGAGTTCTGAGTGAGATCACAAGAACAGTCTGGTTGTGGTCATTTACAATCTTTGTTTTAGGGAGAAATATTCCAAGAATCTGTAACACATTTCATCCCTAAGAGGTGTTCTCAGATTCAATAAAATAAAACAGACTGTAATGAAGGGGCCGTTGCTTTCTGCTTTCTTTTGTTTCTTCATTAGAAAAATGACAAAACACTCCTAGTTTTCAATCCTGCCAACCAGAGGTCAGACTCTTGGGGTGTTTCTAAATCCGACACATCACACTCATTTCCTTTGGTCTCCGCTGGCGCCCAACTGGTAAAAAGGCAACACTGACAAAGACCACAGGAGATAAAATGGAGTCCAGTGTGTGCTAATGTGATGCCTCACGGCACCACGCAGTGTCTGCCTTTCCTCTCCCTCTCTCTCTTTGTGGTTCTCTCTCCCTCTGAGCATGTTTGTGTGTTTGTGCTGGCATTCAAGTCAAGGTCGATGATACACAGTAGGTGCAATATTTGTTGTGTCCCTAATTGTCACTCTCCAAATTAGCCACTTAAGCGGCTGCTGTCCACTTGGATGTGTCGTGTTCAGGAGTTTGCTTGCAGGGGCAAAGCTACCACTGCTCTGGATCTCATTAACTCCTGGAATGGCAGCCCGACTTTGGTGCCTGTCTAGTACTATTGCTTTTACTTCTACATAAGTACGCCGCTGTGGGGCAACAGAGCAGATGACCTTCTGAGGAAAATATGTCCCTGTGAGTATAGACCAACCCAATGTGGGCTTGTTACTGTGTGCAGGCAGTTGGGGGCTCTGCCGGCTCCTATTCTGATGCTGGAATGTGCCGTGGGTGTGAAAAACAACACTGAGACATCACAGCAGCGCACCATCACACTAGGTGATGCTTTGTTTGAGGGCCAGTATCATTTCTGTCATTCCATATACTTTACTTTTATTTGATAGTACCTTATCGTTTTTACAAGGTGACATCATTTCCTCATAAAAAATACCCACAAACCAGTTTGTGGCTGCATTCATGCATTTTCCTGTCTCAGCTGCAACTTTTCAAATTCTGAGCTGAAACCTGCAGACATGAGGATGGAAACGAAGTACGTCATGAGGTCCTGCTCCTCCCCATGAATCTAGTCTCCGATCTGAAACCCGCCTGCCCTGGAAGTAGGTCACTAACGCCCGCTTTCCCCTAGCTGCGGGCATAGAGCGTTGATTTCATGCTACAGTTGAAAATGTGGCCTTCATTTCACAGACGACTGCTTTAAACCTCCACCGGTACCAGAGTGGGTATTCCGACCAATTACTCCTGCATCGGAAACAAAACCATGACATGTCAGTGTCTTCGACGAGTGAAGATTTGTAACAGCTTTGGTGGGTTAGTGGATAGATACCTGGCTTGCATGCTGTTTTAAATGACCTTACACTGGTTCAATTCCCAGTCTCAGCTGTAACAATTTTTCTTTTGGCTACAAGTGCCCGTATTTTTAATAGTAAACTGTATCAAACATGGAGACGAATCTCTTTCTTTGCTTGTTTAACCAGCTGAAGTCCTTGTGAGCCCGAGTGAGGCGAGTAGACTAGCCCGTTGGGACTGCTGGGTCCCATCCAGTGCATGCTAGAATGCTAAAACGCTGCTTGGAAATGACCACATTCAAAGATCTCCGGATACACAAAATATTTTGCAGAAAATAATCAAAACAACTAGAATATAAAAAAATTCTATCTGTTTCAGCATACATACATTACTGCTGACACCGGGAGTCAAGCCGACAACAGGGCATGGCAAAACAAGATAAAAACGGAGAACAACTAGACCAGAGATTCCCACCCAGATGTGCGACTACCCCTTGTGGTCTGTGAACGCATCACAATAAAAATTCATATTTATAACCCAGATGATGACAGCACACACCCCGGGTAAAAACAGCATTGTGCTGGGATGTGTTATGTTTAATCAATACTCAAATAAAGTAATGCACAGTAATATATGGTTGATGTATTATCAGTTATCTGTCTAGGCCGGGGGTCGGCAACCCGCAGCTCTGGAGCCGCATGCGGCTCTTCCATCCATCTGATGCGGCTCTCTGTGCTTGTAAAATAATGAATGGATATTTAAATAAAATGCTTTATATTTTACTGCATTAATTTTGCATCTGTATGCCAATTCTAAATGTAAAGATTGTCTGCGTAAACCTGAACAGTTCCAACCCGGTCTTACTGTGAGACCGGGTTGACGCGTCACGCTTGCGCGTAATCATATCGGCGCTTTCTGAGCTGAAGAGGATGTGAGATTCTGGGATTCTCCTCAGACGGCTCCTGGGTGTGTCGCCACATTGGAGACAGGAACAAGCACTATTCAGCCAAAGTTTCATCATCAGGGAACATTTTCTAAGTGACAAGTCTCTCTGAGAGACCGGGTTTGCAAAACACTCGCTTCAGTGGGAGGAACCTTCCCGCATGCGCTCTGGTTCTGCGACTCACTCCAAGCCCCTCTCCACATCTTCAGCTCGCTGTGTACCTTATGTAGTACACGCTGACAGGGAGCTGCGCTGAGCAGTATCCAGCTCAAATGTTCAGATGGGAATCTTTTCTTGAGTGATTTAGCTACATCTGCGATGTGCGTAGAATAAAAGGTCAGTTCGTCTGCATGCGTCGGGGTAATTCTTTCTATTCTTTCTCCGTCAAAATAAACGGTGGCATACGGGAACTGTCCGGTCAACACAAGCCCTGCTTTTAACTGTTTTGTTTTCTTGTGAAAATTGTTACAAATTTAACTTGATTAACACCAGAGCCAGGCGCACTGCGCCGTTGTCTCCGTCGCTGTAAATGAGGGAAAAACAAAATGATCGGATGCTTTTCTGACCTTCCCCACCTACAAAGTTTAATTACAACAATCAAACGTGACAGAGCCTGGATTTGTATTCTGAACAGTCTAAACATGTTTTAAAAGAAACGTATGACAAAAGTGGCACCTGCTCAGTAAAACCACCAACAGGGTGAAAAATATCTAAACATTGTAGGCAGAGACGGGCTACAACTTCTGGATCCACTTTATATAAATCGTTTTATTGATTATCGTCTTATGAAAGATAACTTTGACGTAGACGAGCGACCGGTACCGGCTGCTGTCACCTGTTGTGAGCAGCTCTCTGCTGTCTGAGGGTAGGCCCCGCCCACAACGCCACGGCTGCTGTGGCTCCCAGTGTTTTCTTTACTGTGGGAAACGGGTAATAATGGCTCTTTGATGGGAACAGGTTACCGACCCCTGATCTAGGCCAACAGGGACTGTGCATGATTCGGTCAAGCTGCTGCAGCGTGGATTAAGGGGTAGTGAATACGGGTAACGTCGGTTATACGGACCTGATGTTGAACAGAGACCAGTAAATAATTCTGCGTTAGTAGCTCGTTTACACTAATTACCTTAACTGTCCATCTGCAGCTGTTTGTCTCATTAAAAACGTGGGTTTGTGCAGCTTCTCTACCCGTCTCACTGCGGCCGGTGCGCACCGTGGGTCTGACTTTATGATGCTCTTCCCCCAAGGATGCTTAAGGAGGTTTTTTCTGTTCTGGCCCCTTATATACTGGTCATCTTAAATACCAGTCTGGCCTCTTGTGTGGTTCCCCTTACTTTTAAGAGGGCTGTTGTACGACCGCTGTTGAAAAAGAAGGGGATGGAGGAAACTGTGTTCTCCACACCTTCATCTCCTCACACTTAGACTGCTGTAACTCTCTTTTCACGTGTCTGAGCAGAACCTCCCTGAACCGTCTACAGGTGGTTCAGAACGCCTGTGCTCGGCTTCTGACCAAGTCCTCCAAACACACCCACATCACCCCGCTTCTCCTCCAGCTTCACTGGCTGCCAGTCAACTTCAGGGTTCATTTCAAGATCCTGGTTCTGGTCTATAGGGCCTTACATGGACAAGCACCATCTTACATTGGTGATCTTCTTAGTCCCTACACTAGGGCTGCTCAATTAATCGAATTTTAATCCCAATTACAATCTGAGTTTTGAACGATTATAAAAACAACACAAGCCACTTGCGCTGAGCTGAGTTGCAAATGAAGCGCTCCTCCCACAGTGTTGCCAACTTAGAGACTTTGACGCTATTTCTAACAGATTTTCAGACCCCTTCTTGACTTTTTAACTTAAAAGTACCTAGCGAACACCTCAGAAACATCTCTGGTAACCCTTAGCTACTTTCTGGATAACTGTCGTTGACATTTCCTGCAGGTTAGCTAAACACTCCGCCTGCGCTCCCGACCGTTCTTCAGGACATCAGGAAAGGGAATGATGCAGTGATGTGTCGGTCGCTAAAGAAACGGCTCTCAGAGCTGGGTCCTTGTTGGATTAACCAGAGTGAGTGACAAACCGTAACTGCGGGCTCCTGAGCTGCTAAAAACAGCTAAATGTGCGCGTGCTAAATACACGTGCAGCTTGCCCATGATTGCTGTGAAACCGGGTTGGGGGTGCAGTTGTGGTTGGTTCTGTACTGGTTAGACTTAAATGAGTTAAACCCAAGCTCTATAGCCCTTGGGTCATAGACTTAAGTATATTGGTCTTTTTATACTGGGAATCAGGAGTTATTTTAGTGATCGTCTTGTTTCTTATTTATTTTTGTCCTGATTGTGCCCTGAGCAATTTTATGACTGAATAAAAACAAAGAAAATCAACATAAATTGAAAAATCGTCCTAAATAATCGAGATCTCAATTTCAGTCACCATAATCGTGATTATTGTTTTCGCCATAATCGAGCAGCCTTACCCTACACCCCCAGCAGGTCCCTGAGGTCCAGTGATCAAAGCCTACTGGTTGTGCAGCACCAGGCTAAAGGTCAAAGGTGACAGATCATTTGCTGCTGTGGCCCCCAGACTCTGGACCTCTCTCCCCCCCTGAGCCTGAGATCAGTGGACTCAGTGGTCTCCTTCAAAAAGCAGCTGAAGACTCACTTGTTCAAGCTGGCTTCTGTA